TATAATGAAAAGGGAAAGAAATTTTTCATAGAAGAACCAAAGAAAGAAAAATAAATGCCTAATAATGATATTTCTCTTTATAGATATGATATATTTACCATAAAATTATATAATTATTACAATAATATACCATACTATAAGTTTATAATTATATCATGTAATTATTAATTCTTTTTTATCTAAAGTCTTATTCATAATATTGTATATATTAATTCATTAATAACATATTATAATTATAAATTTATAATTTTATATAATATTATAATTATATCGTCATATTTACCATATCTTGTAGTGAAAGTATTGTAATCTTACAATTATAGTATATTATTATATAATTAATTATTTTTATTTTGAGAGACACATTTGATATTATATGCACATACTTATTTAATACAATATTATTATTATAAACTTATAATATTACATAATATTATAAGAAAAATGATTTTTGTATAATTTTTTTATCTTATTTTTTTGTACAACCTGACGTATCATTTAAATGATTGATTCTTTTAATTAATGTAAAACCCGTGATATTGAATACATCCACTTATTTAATGACACGTGAAAGTTGAATAAAAATGTTGTATAAAAAAGTTGTCTTTATAACACCACTCATATTATAATTATATTATTTTTGTTTCATGTAAGATTATTTATAATGATTATGTTGTATTAAAAGAAGCCATACATATATAATATCACATTCGGCCCCCTAAATTTAGAATTTAAATGTTCCACAACCTTAAACCTTTTATTTTTATAGTTAAAGCATTTTCAAATTAGTTTACATGCATCTTAAGATTAATTTTTTATTAAATAATTTTAAGAATGCACTTATATATTAACATGTGTATTTAAAAAATTAAATTTATTTTAAATGCTCAATTCTAAATAATTATATTCCTAACTTATATTTAAAACATATCAAATAAAAAAAATTATTTATTAATGGATCCACCTCATAGGTTACTTTGGACTTAATTATTTGTATGTCAAGTCCATCATACAAAAATATAGTCTCAAACTTTTAAAATGAGGAAAAGAAAAAAGAAAAAGAAAATTATTCAGAATGAAACCTCGTACCCTCGGCCAAAAGATAAAAAATAAAAAAGGGTTTTTTTAATATGATACAAGGTAAAAATATATTTGTTGTATTTTTTTATTTAGTAATATACATAATAATATTAAAAATTAATATTAATTTTACTAATTATTTAATAAAAAATATCTATATATTATAAATATTAAAATTAAAATTAATTTTTTATATAAATTAATATATAAAAAAATACATTTAAAACACTTTGACAGAAAAAATAGATTAAACAAATTTAATAAAAAACTTGCACCATGGAGCAAGAAATCTGGATAAAATATGCTAAATTGATTATGGGCCTTCGGGTTTGTGTAGGGATGTCAACAGGCCCATGGGGTTAGGGAGTCTCTCTTCGTCTTCGTTCCCACCAATTAATATTAAATTATAAATTTTTTTTATCTTTTATATATAATTAATTAATATTCAATTATAATAAATAAAATTCTAAAATTCAAATACAATTAATTAGAATTTTTAAATATAAATTGTCTAAATATAAATAAAAATTAATTCAACACAAATAATTAAATCAACAATTAACAAATTTGTTCCAAACATAAACAAAAATTAATCAAAGCTAAACTAAAACATAAGCAAAAATTAAACCAACAATAAAGGGGAAGGTGAAAATGAAAATTAAGAAATAAATTAGAGTTAAGGTTAAATGTAAATAGGGGAATGAATTAGGTTAGTTTTTATGGATTGGGTTAGGTAAAATTAGGTTAAGTTTAATTTTGATTGAATTAAGTTTGAACTTGAATTTAGGTTTGTATTTGGGTTTGGATTTGAGTTTGAGTTTGAAAAATAAATTAAATTTAAAATAAAATTAATTTATATTTATTTTAATTTTTACAAAAATGATGATCCCTGTGGAGCCTCACAGGACGAGAAAAATTTATGACAAAATTTTGTGAGGAAAAAATGTTCTTTATCCTCATCCCACAAGAAAAAATATTTCCCCCGTCTCGTCTCCGTGACAAAGACCCCTACGAAACCTTGCAAAAAATCGAAAAAAATTGCCATCCCTAAGTTTGTGATTGTCTCCTTTGACCTTTCGTTTCGTGAGGGATTTACATCTGTCCCCCACGCTTACCAGTCCTATTTCGAATGACTTGACATTGCCTTTTTGTCCAT